AAAACAGCGGAGAACCATGCAAAAAACGCATCTTCGCACGGGCAGCCCGTGTGTTGGCCAATTATTACTTTCTACACTTTGGCGTACACAAAAATAGTCAAAGTGTTGTTTGGTTCCTAAGTTGTTAAATTTCCCACTAAGAAATTCATATGCCCAAGTGAGTAAATCCTCTCTCTAAAACTTTCACGTGACCATATGTGGCAGTTGAAGGTGAATGAAAAGTCTGAATTAAGTTTTGTGAGGTCTCATGTGGACAGAGAGGCGAGGTGGCCCTTTTTTTTGCATTATTTTAGCTCGTTCATGCTGCGCTTGCCAGCAAATTGAACACTTTTGGAAATGCTTAACAGTTTCGCATTTTTATTTCCAGTTCTTGAGTGATTTGCAATATTTGGAATACATACTGGATTTCAACAGTTGATGATATAAAAGATATTGAATTCCGATTATCATTTCATTTACATCAAATTTTTTAAGGTTTGTTTCCACTGGGCAGTTGGAAATTGCAAGCGGCTCTTGGGTGATGACCGACGAAGCAACACCTTTTTTCCCGTCTACCGTTGATAATATTATAGAAGGGCAGCAATTCATTTACAATGAACTGGGTAAGAGTTTCAGTCGTCATGAATTTTTAGGCTTTCTTGTGTGACATCCTTTGGTGCCACTGAGGGAGAACTACTTTGCCTTCGATTTGGAGCATTATGGTAACGCATCATGTACGATCATGAATGAAGCTATCTTCTACTCGGTTTCTAAACCTCGATTAAAAGAATCTTCTAAAAGAAATTAATTTGCTAATCTCATCAGCAGAAAAATTCCAGCGTTACTGTAGAATTCACAGTTCTGTAAAATTCGGCTCTCTTACATTTTCAGACTCAGAAACACTGCAATTTGTTTATTACACGTTGTTTCATCGTTATGTTTCTTCTCGCCATTGATGCATCTAGTTTGCTGTTCTTTTCTATTTTGGATTTCTCGCATCCACATGATAGCCAATTCGAACTGTTCCTTCTGTTACACTGGCTGCCTTCCTTGCACCTTTTTTCATCGTGTGGGTATCATTCAGTGAATTTTGTTGGGTTTTGTATTTCTGTTGTCTCTCATTCTTGCCATATGACTAGCTCAGTTCTTCTTCCTAGCGTACATTACTTTGATACTCTTTCACATCAGACCGAAACCACAGTACTACATTTGGTGATGTGCTGCAACTTGCTGAAACCTCTAGTCTGTCGTTCCTTGACTCGCAGCTAATTTTCCTCTCCAGCTAGGACCAAATGAAAAACGCAAATAGTATATTGAATCATATGAAAAATGCTTGTTAAGCACAATGAGCAAGCAGTTTTGAATAGAGTGTCGAATTAGTTTAGAGTGGTGCTAAGTTATAAATGATTTATTTAGATGTGCTTGCTCAAGTTATGTGGTCCAATGATCCGTTTGGTTATGGGCCATCAGTGCCTTATCTGTTCACCAAGACTGGCATACATCGGGCAGTCATAAACAGGGTACATCATGGCTTGAAAACTTTGCTTCATCAACATCGAGCTATACCCTTTCGATGGAGACAGCATTTCGGTTCGATTTTGTGATTTTCATTTAAATAATGCGTTTTTTAATGCGTTTTTGCTATGTAATACTATAGCAGCGCTAACGCTGCACAGCAAAAACGCATAAAAAAACGCTGTAGCGCTGCTACAGCCGGCAAAAACGCATACTGTCGAGAGGCTGCCTGTTTGTGTATTTGTTCGGAAGCGAGTGCATTTTGTCGCCCACTTTCATCTCAGCAACCAGAAAAGCTGGGAGACTGAAACTTTGGATATATGCTCCCCTGTGTCATCCTCCCGTTTAAGATCTTTCCCCATACGCGCCTAGACCCCGCGTATGAGACTCCCACGCGAATCAGGCAAGGTAAAAAGCTGAAACTTCGCGGGATATTCTTTATGCAAGTGCGAGCTAAGGGTTTTAAACTCAGCTGTCGAGCGCCCCAACCAGAGCCTCGAGCAACTCTTCAACCCAAAAATCGTTAGCAACCCAGGCCCGAACCCAATCGTATATGTAAATGAACATGGATTTCTTGACAAACGACCGCTCGAGCAGTGCTTCCACTTTTTAACGAACTGGAAATTTGCATTTTTTCAAAAAAAGCGAGCATTTTTCAAAAAGCTAGCATTTACCGAAAAAATGACCGGACTTCATGAAAAAAACCGGTAATCATGCACGATCGCACCGAATGGCCTGGTGCTTTCCAGTCTGGGTTTAAAATAACGACAACTGCCTAAATCCTTCTTTTTAGCAGCCGTATTTATGTGGTGTTATGTTTTTGAAGCATAAGTAATGGTATGAATTGCAGTCTGATCGGAGTAGTCTGGTTTTGAAAATCTGTTAGTGTTATCATACACACTATTTTGGCTCCTCACAAACTAATATCACCACCCTTCCGCTTTTATCTTGTTTGCAGTCCTTTCTTCTCTTTGTTCGCATCTAAAAGGATTTACTGAATTTTGCTGAAAATTTACTGAAATCGCGTAATGAGACGAGAGTATGTTCTGGCAGTACAATAAAATAATACCGGGTCCCAGTACACGAAAGCAGTGTGAGGAGTTTTAAACTGACAGTGGCAGTAGATCTACAGCAGTGGCAGTAGATTAAGCCAGCAGGAGAAGAGTATGACAGCAGATATCTTGAGGTCGAAATAACTATTAGAGAAGAAAAGCCGAGGCTAAGAAGTTCAGGTGCCTTCGTACAGTTCCAAGATGCTGACTTAACATTTAATTTTGAAGACCCTTGAAAGGACCAGAAACTTTCAGATACTAATGGAACTGATGAAATGTACACACATGTTTTACCGTACAATCACTACGACATCCTAAACAGTTGTGGACCAGATCAAGGTGTTTGCTGCCAATTTGATTTCAAACGAATCACCCATTTCTCTTGTCCGGGGCCTTCACCTATCTCAATCACTAAAAATAACGTCAAAAAGAAGCAAGTTTCTTTTTTCACTCATTTTACTGATTAAGCTAAAACTTTTGCTATCTCTAGCTAGTAAATTCCAGAAAGTGTGAAAGCTTTCTTTACGGTGTAAGAAGATGATAGACTCATTAGTGAGGAGAAGGAAAAATACGAAAAACTGACCAAAAGGGGCGAAAATTATTCAGTGGAGATGGCCGACGCAAAATCCAAATTGTTAAAACGTTGCTTGTTGCGTATAAAACTAAGTAAGAGGATTTAGGCTAAGTGAATGATTGCTAAAGCCACACACTTCAAAAAATCCGGAAAATAAGCTTGCGAAAAGTTAATCTGGAGTTAATCTGTCAAAAAAAACACCGCTCTCTCAAAGAATAGAACCAAATTTAGAAATGCTCAATAATATTTTCTTGGTGGAAACCCTGCTGCACTTTTTTTTTCGCTAAAGACAAAAACATACGAATGCGAAACATGATCACTAGCTGGAAAACGAACAGCGAATTAATGAAGCGAAAAATACACGGAATGTGATTCTGCAGCGAATTCGACAAACAAATGCTAAGAGAATTACAGTGCAGGATAACAGACAGATAAACCCAGGCCAGGGCGCACTAGTCATGCTGATGCGATTAAGCTCTTTTGCACAAAACTTGAAGCAAGCAGGTAGCCTCTTCATTATATGGATGGTAGCTTATGGTGGTTTCTTCACTTAATTATACGGATGGTAGCTTTTTCACAGTTACCCTGTACGTCCACTAGTGTAAATCATCGTAAATTCTGCATGAAAGAAAATGAACAATTTCCGTTTAACGATCGTTCTTTGAAAATGACCTAGCTATCCAGTGAGGGGCAATTTGAGCTCTCGATAAGCTATCATTTCGAAATCGTTGTTCTTGCTGCGGATGCAAACTAGCTAATGTGCCCTTCTCCTCTACTTTGGGCTTCTCTCATTCATATAATCCTAACAGACTTTCGAAGCCAGATATTTTGGAAAAAAAAGCCAGATCTTTAACTTCAGATAATTCGCAACATTTCCGTGCTGACCAGCTCCGCGTCTTTAAAACGTCCAGTTTTAAGATAGCAATATTTATTTTGCTTCTACATTTTCAGAGCTTCCCAGCTTGAGCAACAGTTTCAT